ATACGTCCCTAATCCTTGGGATACGTCCCTGACCTTTGGGATACGTCCCTAATCCTTGGGATACGTCCTTAACCTTTGGGATACGTCCGTAATCCTTGGGATACATCCCTAATCCTCGGGATACGTCCCTATGTTTCTCCCTCTTCAGTTAAAAGCATTCAGAATACGTTCTAATGCTCACACCATTCCGAAACACCGGGATATGTCCCTATGTTTCTTCTTGTCCCATTTCCCCACACGATTTCAGTGTGTTTGGAATTCATCTTAGGTTGCATTGTCATGCACACCTCTTCGCTTGCGTTGTCACGCACATTCCACTTGCATTGTTTTATCAAACCGGCTTCGCGAAAGCATATAAGTCCAATTACAAGCCAGCTTCGCGTAGCGTATAAGTCCAATTATCAAAATCTTCCTGTATATCATTTGCATCCTGCCCCTGAACTACGCTGGTTTGATTCCTTGCAAAGGGATACGTAGGCAGCCTGCGAGCATAACCATTCATTCATTTGTATTTTGTTTGTTTGTCCAAGTCTTCAGCCTTGTCAAAAATGGGTCGTCTCTGGGCTTTGACATTCACTCCAGTCATTTCATGACTTTCGAGTTCTTTCAAAGAAGGACAACTGTAGACGCCCCATTTTTTACCACCCTTAAGACTTGGACACCACTAATGGTTTACTTGGTGGTGAAAGTTGTGCAATGCAATGGTTCGATTTCTTCAACAAAAAGAGAGTCAAAATCCCAACCTTACATCCCAGTTTTGGACCAAAACTATTTTGAATGGTTTTTAGGCCTTAAAACCCTCTCTTTCAAAATATTTTGAAAAGAAGTTTCTATGATGTTCCGAGGCTCGCATTTTGTTAAATGTTGCGCTTTTCGATAAATCAAGCAAGGACAAAGTTGAAATGAATGGAAGAGAGGTGAAATCCTTGAAAAATATTTCAAAACACCTTGTTTAGGGGTTTGGATTTGAAGAAAAGAGGAGAGGAGAGAAGAAAACCAAGCTTCGACTTTCAAAACACCTTACTTAGGGGTTTGAAGTTGAAGAAAAGAGGAGAAGAGGGGAGAAAACAAGTTGGAGAAGAAGTTCGGCAAGGATCCGGTTAGAAGGGAGTCGAGCGACCCTTGCTGAATCAGGCTTATTCATCTGCATACTTGGATTTTAGCTATGAGGCTACCACTGTTGGAAAGCTTACTTCCAGGGCTTCATTTTTCACTCAAGAATCTCCTAAAGCCAAGTCGGGGTGGGGGAGATATGGTTGGTTGAAGTTGGGCATCATCCCGGTTGGATCGAATCTGCGCGGCTTCACCAAAAAGGGCATAACTTTTTTCACAAGAGGAATTTTAATGCAAGGTTTGCGCATTGGAAAGATAACTTCTGGGGCTTTAATTTGGACACCCACTGGCCACTTGTTGACCTTGGCAGCATCTATCAGAAATTTATTTAGCCGACCGGGCATTTATTTTGGCCGACGACCTCCTTTTCTGGCAGGTTTGACCTTTTTGCAACTTCCAGGCATGGTGCATGCCAGCTGTGCCAGCTGGGATGCACAAACCTGTCCCCCCACACACATAGGTGGTTGTTTTGAGCCCTTGACCCCTTTTTTTGCACCCTTTGCTCAAGGCTTCTTGAGGAAGCCTTGACCCCTTATCTTGGCTTCCTCAAGAAGCTTACCAGCTGTCCAAGGTTCTCCAATAAGCCTTGACCTCCCCTTTAAACCCCTTTGACCCTTTGAAGCTTGTCTTAGAAGCTTAGTATTGCCTATATAAGGGGCCTCTCCTCCTCCATTGGTGAGGTTGGATTTTTGGAACAAAAAACCAGAGATATATAGATATATCTGATATATACATACATATATCCCTTCATCTCTCACTATATCTCTCCCATTCAACCATCAAACACCCTTGTTCTTGGGCCATTTCTTCATCAACTCATAGCACAAGGCATCCAACGCCCATTCCAGCAGCTTGAGGCTGTCCTCCAGAGGTTAAAAGCTCCCAAACTCAGTCCAAAGGTTGCTAAAGATTGGTTCTACAAGGGTGAGTCCCACTTTCCCTCTTTTGTGCATTTTCTTGGCCTATATCTTAGCCCCTTGTGGTTACATCTTTGGGCTCCGACCCAAACTTCAAATCATCATATTTTGAGGTCCTCTTCATGTTTGATTGAGGACCTATTGCTGTTTGAGGATAGTAGCTATTGGCATGGATTTGTTACACTTTTACCCTTTGAGAGGCTCGCTGGGCCGAAAACCCGGAAGGGCGACCCAGGCAAAAGTTAGAGCAAGAGAAAAATACAAAAAAGAAA